ACAAGTAGAAATTATTTAATAGCATTTTTTCTATTAAATTTGCTTAATGAGCGAATCAATTATTTGCCTTGATTTTTTTTAATTAATGATATACAAACTGTACCTTATTTACATAACGAATAAGAATTTGGATTTGGACACACAACGCACTGACCATCGTCATCATCAGACAAGTCGTGTAAAAATTTTTTTTTTATAAATTATAAAAAAGTTTTCGTAACTTACGAACTTTTAAAAACTTCTTCCCCTGATTTCGTCTACGCAGAATAAATGTTTATTATATTTATTACTTTACATGTATATTTCCTTACCAAGTTTAGTCCCAATATTTAAGTTTATATTTTTTTAGTTTCATGATAAAAGGATATTCCTTTTCTGAAGTCTCCTTTATACAAAATTCATCATAAGTAGATCAAGATATAAAAATTGGCCAACAGAGTAACTTTCGCATTTATAATATTATTGTCTTTTTATTTCCATATTTTTCTTATAGGTTAGTATACATCACCCATTTGGCGAAATCTTAACGATACGGCACATTAGGAATAGTTCACGTTTAAGTTGTTTTTTAAAACCGTTGTTACTGATTAACAGCTCTACTGTAGTTTCCGAAGGTACTTTGTCAGCCTCTAGACTTTTACTATCTGCGTTGAAAAAATCACAGCTGGCGCGTAGGATATATATCTTTTACTCCCATTAAACTGTTTGTTTCTCTTACTTTGAGCTTGTTTTACATCTGTCATTTTTCATTATTATGTATGGCTTGTAGTGTTTGTTTTTAAACAGAGCGTGACACTGACACACGTAGGACAGCTGTTTTGTCTATGATAGCGAACCGCTTACGTCAGCGTAACTGTCAAACTTCATTGATTGGGTTGGTAGCCTTGAGGGAAGAGTCGATTTTCCTATTCGACTAAAATATTCGCCTTGAGACTTATAAAAAAAAAAAAAAAAAAAAAAAAAAGTAGTCAGGCGGGGAATCTCTGTGGGGGCGCGTGGGTGAATGGATGGAGTTTGACAGTTGTTGAATTTTGAATAGTCTTTCCCAGATCGATTTGAGTCCTCATTATCGGGTGCTGTTTTTAATCGATTTTGAATTTTACTCGAAATTGAATTTCCTCGCTGATTTTGGTGGGTATTCCCTTTTCCTCAGCTTACGGCGAGCGTAGGTATATAGTTTTGAGTTTATTCTTCGGTTCGTCTCGAATGCGGCGGCTGTCTGTTTGACTGTGTCCTTTGCCTTCAGTTGAAGTGGGAAACAAATCATAGACACATGTTTGGGAGTAGACGATTCGTCTATCATCTATGAGCAATTGTCAAAACAACTTTTAAAATTTCCCAATCTGTTTGTGGTACAGTTAACTTTTCATCTTTTCTTCTGCCCAAAGTATAATAAACGGCATATTATTGTCGTCGAAGTCGTGAGATAGATCCGAAAAGTTTATATCCCGAAGGATATTGGCGGAAAAAGCGCGGAGTCGCTACCCGAACTGAGTTTCGTAGGTATATTGGAGTGGCTCTTTTTCCTACATAATTTACAAGTTTGGGCTGTGAAAATAACCTTTCTGTTGATATTCTGTATCGTAGGTGGACGAACACGAACCTTCACAAGGCGATTGCAATAATAAGGCGGTAACTTGTGATAGGAAACAAAATACTTACGGATAGTTGCATAATTCGAACGGTAAGCTATCATCTGATCTCATATTTATTCTCCTAGCACTAATTGAACTGCATTATGCACAATATAGCGATTCTTGTCATCAAATATACCTAATCATTCTTGTCAAGTTAGTGAACGTGGAATTGATTTTCTTCAAACCGGGTGGGACGGGCCCCCAGTCCTGTATTGATTCAAATTTTAAAGTGTAAACATTGACAGTGAATATCCCTCACTCCCTCACCCACCACAGATGTGGTAATCTATGTATTTTCCCCATATCTGATCATTTTTTTTCAATGTGAACTTCAGGCTTGTACGTTCCCCTCAAGAAATACTGGAGGACTAACAAGGAGACTTTTGTTCTGTGCACGGACCAGAAGGGGCGCGGGAGTTTATTTGCCAGCCGCTCTCCGGTTTTATGTAGCCCGGCCGTAACAGCGGACAGATTATACACAGCTTAACCTATCATAATCAAGGTATTTCTCTACTAACCCCGGGTGAACGTGAAAAGGAAACAACAGGCGAGGTTGGACCCCGACTTACCCATTTCCATATATTTACATATATCTATATAGCTGGTTATCTCACTGAGAACTAGAATTAACTAAGTTTGTCACCAATATCGATCAAACGAGCCGTAGAACCTCTGAAATCCACTCAATAGCTTATTCAGTCTAGTCTATGTGGTATTTGTGGATAAAATATATTAGTAAGGATTATATTGTAAGTACATGGTAAAGTGTTATGAATGTTTGATATTCATATAATTATAACCTTTCATGACAACTTGTTGGTTTATATACACATTAACTTTGAACTACTGTATTCAGCTTAGATATTTATAATTGGTGAAACATAGTTATTATATAAATAATAAACATAGTTAGACTTGTTGATTTATATAAGCAATAACTTAAATCTACTGAAGTCCTAGGCTTTGGTATCTAAAGTGGATAAAATATACTTATAACATTATCTTAATTTTTTGGTTTTCTTTTATTGTTCCCCCGGTGCTCTGAGTGGGCTAAAGGAGGGCTGTTAAAGAGAATTTAACATCACAGGCTCCCAAATCATATCCAAAAATAAACCAAGTCCCTTTTCCCACGTCTCCAAAAGACTGACCTGTGACATCTAGGAATTGCCAGAAGTTCTCACGAGCCTACCACACAGTGTTGCCAGCAATAAATTAATTGATACAAACTGTAGGAAGTGCCAAGACAGGCTTAATACCGCTATTAAATCAGCCCGATATGGATCTTTAGCACACTTTGATCCTGAGTGCTTAGTTAAAAATTTAATGCTGTAATTGGAAGTTCACATAGTAAACCTTTATATAAAGGTTTCCTCTAGGGTTAAACTTTTTGATTTAAATGGACAATACCTTAGAAGGATATCATAGCACAAATTATTTAAAAACTACATAGAGATAAACGTAGATCTATAAACTTATTGCTAAAAGTAGCAAAAACGGAAAAAAAACATGACAAAACGATAGCATAACTTACATTATTTAAGTCTTAAGTGAAATAAAAGTATTTACATTTCAATTTCAAGTAAAGGTAAGTTTTGCAAGTACTGCAAGTTCCGGACTACGTTCCGTTCTACACTCATAAGATTAAAAACAGAGTCAAGTCCTTATAACAAAAGTACGTGCGCTTCTAAATCTGTTTAACACAGTTCAATGCCACGAGAAATATCGCACACGAACATCACAAAAAGTAGATAGATAATAGAAACAAATTACTATATTGTACTGGCTTACACTTTTTAATCAACAAATTCCTCAACTCAATTATGAATAGCAGATTTCAAAAACCAAACTATGAAATTTAACCATCAAAGAATCTAATTCGTCGACAGTAATTTTGCATAACGATATTAAAGGTACCTGTTGCAAACTATGCGTACTTAAAAGGTTGAAGTAATTCTCGTGTCGAGGCGTCAAGGTCTTCTCTAACTAGTGCCGAAGAACAGTAAGTTGCCGCTAAGTAGTGACAATAGTGGAAATTAGCACATACAAAACACGGTCGTTCACCCACAATCATTCAACCCACTGCTTATTTAACACGAGTCTACGCAAAAAATGCTAACATACACTGTCTGAAAATTTCACATAGCTATCAATAAAAATAGAAAAAATGTTAAATTACTATGTCATCATTTCGAAGAACTTCAAGGTTTCTTCAAGATATGAAGATCTTGCGTAATTACTTAAATTAAAATATAGTTAAAACATGAAATCAATTGTCTGAAAAACTTTGTCATCTTTTCCGAGTTTAAAACTTCAAATCAATTGTCTGAAAAACTTTGTCATATTTTCCGAATTAGCGAATTTTTCCCTGTCAGGGCAATTTAGAAAAACAAGTTACAATCACATTGGCATCAGAGAGAAATATTATGGTATATTGTAGAATATAATTAATATTTACTTAGTAATCATATAAATCATTTTTAATCATTTGTTATTCCTAATTATCAAAAAATCATTTAATTGTTCATTAAAGACCGCCTAAACTTTCGTCTTCTTGTAAATAACAAAATATAACCAAGCTAATTAGTTAATTAATTGATTCTTAATCTACTACTCCTTTTTTAAGTTTATCATTCAACAGTAGCAATTACTATATTACACTGGTTACCTCCCTTAAATTAATAAATTATCTCTGAACAATCATTATCGGCATTTTAAATTACTACAAAGAAATTAAACTAAAACATATTGTTAATAAGTAAACTGTAGACTCTCGCTAATATAAAGTTCAGACACATTATACTTGCTAATATAAAGTTGAGACACATTAAACATGACTCGTCTAAAAACCGCTTCTAATCGAAAGAAATATGAAAAAAACCTAGACAAAAGTAGGCAACTGCAGTTGATTCAGGTGAAATCACAGAAACACACAGTATTTAAGCAACCACTCAAATAGAAAGTAATCGTCAATTAATGGTAGTTATTTAGCAGGTTAGTTTGCCCGCAAAACTATCTGCGCGGTTATGCAACGCATGTAATCGTTGGTACCACCTGTATAAATATACCATAATTATTCAAATTATACTATTCGAATGTTAATATTTTATCGGTTTCTGCCTCTATCTATTAGTTACCATGGTGTCATAATTCTTTTTCTAGTAAAAACTTTTAAAGTCATGTGGACACCAGTTATTAACTAATCCCTAATGTGTAGATAAACGGAGGTACTATTAAAAATGCTTATACCTAGCTAAATAATATGGAGACCCATTCTTATGTGAGAATCGTCAATTTTATTTCTGGTACAAGATAAAAATACTTATCACAATTTTCTATAAATAAAATCTTATTTCGTATACTTACTCAGGTCAATGTTCCATTCAGCGCAGATTGCAGCCTCCAAAACCATAGACGAACGATCAGGACCTCACTAAGTAGTAAAAAGTGAAATTTCTCGGCGGTGGCGGGCGCGACTGCCAATATATAATAATATTTATTCGCCCGTAAAGAAAAACGTGGTACGGTACGGCCAACACCGTATTCTATTCGCGCCAACTTATAAAAACACGTGTTCGTTTTATTCGATTTTTAAGGAAATTATTTCATTGACAACTTCTATTGATGTGTTATATTTTTTTTTATCTTGTTGCAATATGATCGGCGGTGGTTTTGAATTACGAGCGCGTTCGGTTTTGTTCGTGCGGTGGTGCGCGTGGGCAGAGCGGCTGCGAGCGGAGCGCGCGACGCGGCGACTTGTGAGCCACTGAGAGGCGAGCCGGCGAGCGCGCGCGCAGACATAGCGCTCGCAGACACTTGGCGATATTAATATAGTATCTGTGTATTAGCTTTTCAGACCCAAATCTATGAAGCGGCTTCGTTTGTATCTCCGATGAATGGGATGAACTGGTTTGTAACTTGCAAATTAATTTTAGTTGCGAAAACGCTTTTAAGTTTATTAACAAATTACCCGTTTACCCGCCCTCGCTTCGCTTCGGTGTAGAGCTGAAGTGTAGACTGCAGTTTTTGTTCTCAGGCTTGTATTACACTCAATGACTTTCATCTTTGATTCTTCTTATAGTTACCTGCATGCAAAGTCTCAGCCTGGTCGGTTTAAAATTGACAAAGTTTCATACAAACTTTCATTTCCTATTTTATCCCCTTGGGGGTTGAATTGATCAAAATCCTTTCTTAGCGGATGCCTACGTCATAACATCTACCTGCATGACAAATTTCAGCCCGATTAGTCCAGTGGTTTGGGCTGTGCTTTGATAGATCACTATGTCAGTCAGTCACCTTTGACTTTTATATATATATAGATAAAAAAATGGAAATACAAATTAAAATGAAGCATTAAGCGTTGATAAACCTGTAAAAAAAATAACAATTTTTCCCCTCAGTCAAAATGAAAAACTGGTGAAAATTTTAAACATCAGCATATCCTACATTTTACTTTATTACTTAGTAGTATCTTTTGGATGAAAGTTTATATTTTTAATGATTAACAAAAATTAATTTTATTTTACAGAAATAGAAAGTATGATAATAATGAAAGTATGTAATGTCAGCATATAAAAATTAAACTTTATAACTTTTCACTGAACAATCTTCAGGCATTGGCAAGTAATATTTTCTTTCGTTGACATCTATAATTGCCTATTACCTCTATTGAAACAATTTAAAGACATAATAAACTAAACATAAAGATATTTAGCAAGCAATAATTCTCTATACAAATGAACGCAGAGCCATTGTCTTTTCGTATCTCTATTAAAATCTTGTCTGCTAGAAAATTTAGGTTAACTAATATATTTATTTTGTTGAGGAACGTTAAAGACCGTTTGGCACAGATGCAAGACTAACTGGACAAATAACAATATGATTTACCACTACAATATGATATGTTTGCTAATAGAAACCATTCTATTTTATTGGTAAATTTAGTTAATAATTTCACCCTGTTTCACATTGTTGTGGCTAAAAAAATAGAAAACGAAAAAGCTATGTCTTTTTTTATTATAGCCAGGTAGGCAAATGACTTAACCCCACTTGATGTAAAGTGGCGATAAAGTCCAGACGCGAAGGCAGCTGGAACGGCAGGTATAAACTGCGACACCAACTCATCCTTGCTGACCTGCAGAAATGCTTCTTCACGCCTCTCTTAAAGGACCCCAGATTTTAGGAAGGGGAGCACGTGCGCTGGCAAAGAATTCCACTTGCAAAAAGTATAACAAAGAAATGTGTCACCAAATTTCTTTGTTCGTGTAGGAATAGTGGCCACAGTAAGTCGGTGACAACGTAGACAAGCGCACGTGGTCGTCTGAAGAAAAGGTGATGAAAGGATAGGGAGAATAACTCCTCAGAACACTCGCCGTGGTATAGTCGGTAGAATGCGCTTAATGATGCCACATCGCGGCGTAATTGTAGAGACTCGAGTTTGTTAGTTACCTCTTCATCGCCTATGATGCGGACAGCGTGCCACTGCAACCTAACCAAGGAATCAAGTAAGTACTTAGCGGAGCCATCCCAGAGGTGCGAGCAATATTCCACGCAGGACCGCACTTGCGTTTTGTACAACAAGCACAGTTGATCGGGCGTGAAAAAACGCCGCACCTTGGTCAGGACTCCGAGTTTGCGTGAACCTGTTTTCATCACGGTTTCGAAGTAGTCATTTTATTTGGATTCAGGTCTGAGCGAACTTCCATACCGAGTATGGTGATGTTGCTCTGTAGCGCCAGTGTTGTGCCCTGAAAATAATAAAAAGAATTATTCCTCATTTGAATCCTATTGTTACTAAAATTATATGCTTACCTTGAAGGGTAGAGGCAAGGGGGAGGAATGGCGATGTTTTTGCCGTGAAAGCGCAGCCTGGGTTCTCTTGGCATTGAACTCAACCAAGTTCCTGGTACCCCATTCGGAAATGTTGTTTACAGATAGATTTATATATTTTAAGTAAACTTGTCTAAATTCTTTATTTAAATAAAACCTGAATTTGATTCTGATAATAATACCAATATCTGTTAATGAGAAATGAAAACAGTTAAAATATCGTTCGAAAAATATTAAATAATTAATAATAAAAATAAAATCGTAAACATTACATTGACTTTCTTTTCTTCAAATTTACATAATAATAACCCGCAGCATCCTACCTGTACATTGACATCATAACATCTGTATTGAAACTACATGTTTGCAAAATTTGGCTTAACCATTTCGCTACGGTGACATGAACGAAAACTGAAAATAGCATTCACTTTTCTGTTATACAATAATAGTTCTTTTAGTAGCATTTAAGTTATTGTATTTTCACATTCTATATCAAAAGAAATTTGCGATGTGTTTTTTTAATCTACGTACAAAGAAATCATAGTTTTTTTTTGCTAGCATTCTCATGTTCCGCCCGAACTTATCGCCCCTTTCATAATGTAAAACATTTTTTATTTATATTGTAGAGTATTGCGGTTTCATTACCAATTCTATCATTATAACCAATTTTTCCCCTGGTTTCTGGTGGATTATCAAAATGGTCTTCATACAAACTTTATCCAATACAATAACGAAAACAATCAGCAAAATCGATCGACTGGTTCTTAAGTGATGCTCCATCATTGATGTGGCATTTTATTTTTATATTATGCCTGCAGTAGCGAACCCGGCAGACGTTGTCTTGCCCTACAAAAATATGATAAAAACTTAGGACTCACCTCCCGCACCACATTTAGTAAACATGCAATATCATCGCCTCAGTCTAGCCATTTAGGTAGAAAATGGAAACGCGCTAAAATTAGAAAATTAAAAACCAAATGTTCTTTCTTGACAGTATTGACATTTTGATTTGTGCCATTTGAAGCTTAGATTAATAATTATGAATATAAATAATAATTAATTTGTATGCCGATATTGGCACAACATGTTATGTACTTAGCTAATTATCACTGAACATCTTTGTTACGCATGTAGTACAATTTTTTTTTTGTCAATAATAAATAAATTAATATTTCCAACACTCACACAAATTAGCCTAGCCCCAAAGTAAGCACTGTAAGGCTTGTGTTATGGGATGCTAGGGTAACGGATAGAATACATGTACAGTACATATATAAGTATATTTATATAGAAATACATATTAAACATTTATGAATGGAGTACAAATGCTCGTGTTCATCACACAAACATCTGCCCCCACCGGGATTCGAACCCAAGACCTCTCGAGTCGGCGACACCATGAAACCCGGCGTACAAACCACTCGGCCAAGGAGGTCGTCTTTCTTTCTTTAAAGTCCAAACGCATTTGTTAAAAAGCTCCAAAGGTAATTATATTTTTTAATCTAACTTTTGAACTAAATGAAATAAAGATTACTAGATTACACACTGAAACAACTAAAAGATTTAACTCCTAACAGCTGGACAAGAATAATATCGGACCTGGTTAATTTCGTCACAACTATTATTCGCACATGACCCGAATCTTCCATAGGCAAACATCCGCTCCCTTCACTCATTCAATTACCGAAATGATTCCCATAAAGCAATTACCAGTGTCGAAGAGATGAAGCTGCGCAAGAGGCTATTTAGTAGAAGGCCGCCCGACACGATGATGTCAGCGTCTTGTCTTGGTGATCCAGGACTGATTTATCGCCAACACTTGTCTGGATTAGGGCCCCACCAAGATCCATATCTCATGTCAATCGGGCAACACTAGTGATTCTTCTAATGACTCGACCACACTAGGCGCGTTTTGTATCACGACGCAATTAACACTCAATTTGCCCAAGTTCAAAAAGTCTTATAAACAGAAACGAATTGTAATAACTTATAGGTTTGTTGCATTTGCAATTGAAATTGAATACCTATTAAGGGAAAAATTTCAGAAGATTTGTATCGTAAAAATGGATTAGTGTGGACGATTTATTATAACGGAAATTGGAGCCACAACAACTCTAATGATTTAAGAAAATCTCAAATGCGTCTAATTTATGTCGTAAGTAAGTTTATGCGATAGTAATACGAAAACGATTTTATACGTACAATGTATATTTTCGTTGTTGTAACAATCTATTTCGCCTTTCATGTCTAAAATAAAAAGAATAATTGATCGAGGCAAAGTTCCAAGATTGTGGTACTCGCACCACGCGAACCGCGCGATCGTTTCATTTGGTTTATTTTGCATCTCTGAATATCTTCTGCGCGTACTAACGCTATATTCGTTCAATGCCTTGACTGGGTGGCTGGAATCGCATCTAACTTTTTATTATCTATTAGGTTTTCATGTTCGATTCTGGTTTGGTTAAAAAAAACACTATTGTTCCTTATCTGGGTGTTTGTGATGCCTTCATTGTTAATGACAGTAAAGGAGATGGTTCAAGTTCAAGGAGTGGTAGGGAAACATATATCATTTGAAAGCTTGTTTTATATTATAACATGAACAGATACTTTTTTTTATAATTTATCTCCAATCAATTTTAAATCGTACATTGATTTAAACTTTCATGGTCACTAACATTATAGTAATATAAGTTATTTTCGCTAAAAACAAGGTACATGGTAACAATCCCGTAAATAACTTATATTACTATAATTTTAAATCGTGTTTAAAAATTTAACAATTTTGTAAGAATGCTGGGCGCTCTGTCATAAGTTACGTCATATTTTTAATGTGTGGCAGCAACTGGATCACCATGCAATGCAAATATCATTCAGTCCACTTATGCATGAAATTCTTAAAATCGTGGTGCACTTATTATACCAATTAATGATTGATTCTTCTTGAAATATAATAGCCTCAAAAT